AAATTACTTTTAGAAATATTGAACTTTCTTCAACAGAAAACCGACCAAAACTGCATAATGCAGTTTTGGTCGGTTTTCTGCTGAGAATGAACGCTGCATAGTGCAGTTATGTTAACGATGAAAACTCTAATAAAAGCCATAAATTATAAGTACTATAAGTGCTAGCAGTAATAATATTAATAGTGGTAACAAAAAGAAAATTAATTAGGAGTTGCTGGTGCAGCGATTCAATTTAAATTTCAGTCCTGATCAAGTTATTAGTAATATTAATGGTTATACAAAGGAAATAATTCATCAATAGGTAATACAGATGAAATTTAATAAAAGCAGAAGTTATTTAAGTCGTTAAACTACTAGACTCGATTTTATTCTTGGAAATCAGCATACATCTAACACTCATCTTTTTCTAGTAGTATTTTCAAAAATTGAATTTGATAATAAATCATCCCATTACGTGTGAATGCCGTATTATTCTGAATATCAGAAACTGAACACAATGAATTTTGCAAAACGCCAGCCAAAAACAAGAAATGAGAACCTTGAGCTAAATAAGTTGAGAAATTTTTCATTCGATACCTTTTACTTCGGATTAATTCATATCAAAACCGTCAAAGGTGTTTTCAAAGTCACGAGGTAATTTATGAAGAGTAATTTAAAATGATTCAAGTTTGCATTAGGATTCAACGATCAAGAACGAAGTGAAGTTGATTTTGTTCGGATATTTGTCAGCTTAAAAATTCTAAACCAAATGTAATTAATATGTCAGAGATTTCAGGTAATAGTTTGTCGCTATTGATATGTTATTAACTGCACACTGCTTTATTCAAAATAATAACTATCCCGTCCGTTTTCACACTTAAGATTTGCTTTCTATATGTGACAGTATCAGTGATATAGGAAGAATCTTGAGATAAGAAGATATTTTAGAACCCGAAGAGAAAGTGGTATAAATACAACATTTTTAAAAACCCAAAGCTAAACTAAATTGTCTCTGATCTACTAAATGTTTCATGAAGTTCGCTAAAATATTCTGATCTTGTTGGCGCGACCACTCCAAATTATTTTCTAAAGAAAATAAGAAAATTCTTTCTTTTTTAAAATGATTTTTATGAATATTTTAGAAGGTTATAACAGATGATGAAAGCAGTTTCCGAATTCCTATATTGTTTGTTTTCCATTGAAATCAATAAAATAATGTGTAGGCGATTCTTAAAAACTCTTTCATTGCCAATCAATTGCAAGAGAAAAAAAATATCACTGATAAACTGTCTGAGTGTCATCGTTAGCATTATGTTATCTTCAATTTCATGTACTTCTGTAGTACTGATAACTATCTCAATGTCATTTGCCACAAATACTGATAAAACAACATTCATTGAACATTCTTCATCTCTGATGTCTTTGGTGCATATGTCAAATCTTTATTGTAGATCATGTGGTAATTTCGTAAAACAAGTAAAAGCAGATGTAAGTGCTTCATAGATCAGAAAGAAACAATTTCACTAAAGATTCGTATGAATTAAAAAAAAAACTATGAAAAAAAGCCATAAATTAAATTAAATTAATGTTATATTCCATGAAGTGAATCTTGAAACCATACATGCAATTTGTATGTTATTATGCCATAATTCTCAAATTCTACATTCTGAATTATTCAACTCTGTTCAGCATTCTGATTTGAGAAATAAACTATTAATATTTATTTACGACATTAGAGTGCAAAGAAATAACTAGCAGTTATTCAAATTCTATAAAACTAAACATTCATTATAGAAGCTATTACTTTCAGCATGTAAATCATAGTGGCAGATGAGCGTTGTCAGGAAGATAATGTAAAGAGAAGATTTTCAAACAGTAATATCAGATGATGTCAGAACACGAAATCGAAAATTTGCAAGAGTAAGTTTGTAAGTGCAAGTTGAATTCTTCAGTTCTTACGCCGCAGTTACTGGTTTTACCCACCATTGTTTGGAGTTTAAAGCATCTCAAAATAGTGATCAGTAGAAGTCAGAACACATTTCAAAACAACGATCAGTAGAGTAAAATAGTTACTGATACGATTAAATCGTAATCTGACGAATTACTAATGTGAACAACGCCTAAGAAGTTCTAAAGTTGCTTAATTTGCTAGAATCCAGATTACATTTTTACTCAAACTTAAAAATCACTGTTCTTAAGAAACTTCTGTCACGAAACCATCATGTTCAACACAATGATTTTATATCACTCATCATCAGTTAACAGACACAAATTAAGAGTGTGTTGAGTCATATGGAGTATTTCGTTTTTAGTTTTATATATTTGTCACAAAAACTCCTTCAACCTTGAAAGGCAAATAAAGGTCAATTGATAATTCAAATGAGTGTCCCTGAAACTAATCACCTGATTTCGTCTCACACAATCTGATGGTGGAATTTTTGAACTTAATTCGTCTATCACTACTATATATGTTCAACTGTGGGTTAACATTTATTATGTAAATTTAATAATTCGTTGTCAGCCGAATGCTTCCGTACTGATCGATCCAACAAAACAACTAGTAATAATTATCTTATTAACTTTATTTTCTTTTTTCCATATTGTTATCGTTTTTTTCTTCTGTCAATAATAGCCTTAGCAAACATTATAAGTCATAAAAAAGATTATCGAAAAGTGACTTAAGAATACATTACAGAAAACTTTTTTGTTTGAAACTTTCTTTTATTAGGGATTTAAAATTTTCTTCGAATGCTCAAAACCTGAAAAAATCAACTTTAACATTTTAGATTCTCTACTTGATTGCTAAAAGCGCTTATACATTAATAAGTGCATTTTGAACGCAAAGGAGTTGCTACTGTACCATTGTAAGGTACAGTTTGTTTAGCTGAGCGGAAATATTTTAATTAAATATTACATTATTATGAATTTGAAGTTTTTAAATTTTGTTAAATTTTTATTTTCTATGTATTGCTAAACCTTTCTTACAAAGGTTATAAATATTAGGATGTAGCAGAAGGAAAAGAGGAATGTCATAGTAGTGGAGGGGAATTCCAGGTTAAGGAATAATGAGCAAGTATATGGGAAATGAAACTGTTATCATGAGAACATCTCGGCATAACATCTTTGCAGCAACTATAGATACGATAAGATCGAGAACCTTACTATAATGTTATCATGCTGACAATCAGATGGCCCACCTTTTCATTCCATTCACCTACGATCGATGAAACATTGAGGAAGAGCATGTATATTTTCAGATTTCATCCTAGAAAATTCTTTTAAAACATTTCCTCAACTTATAAGATGATCGGTGTTTATTAGTGATCAAATTTAACATAATCTTTGCACTTACAAACAAATTTCTCTTAATCCTCCAATTTTTTCGCATTATTATTTTTTTTTCACTTTTTTCTTCCTTAAGATCCAATTGAGATTTATTACGTATTTGCAACTCCTTCACTATGTTTTTTTTAACCTTCCCATCCTAATATTCAAAGCTCCTCGCACATTTCACTACTATTTGAGATTGATTTAGTATTTTACTATTGATCTATTCTTTGGTGACATTATTTATTTCCTGCATCGTGTGCTTACAAATTCGAAAAAATGTTCCGATGCTGTTATCGCGAGAAAGTCGATAAAATGTGAAATTTATTTCTTAATTGTGTGATGATTGTAACTAACAGTAAGAAATCAACGAGTAAGCATTTAGAAATATTTTGATAAGAAATAAGGAAAGCACTGGAAAAAGAATGCATATAATTGTGCTGAGTGCCGATGAAGGAAACCGCCTTTCCTAGGATACGAAATAGCGCAGTAGTGCAGATGATATGAATAAGTTGTTTGGTAATTTTGAATGACCTCAGTCCAAAAAAGTTCTATTCTTACCTATGGAAAAAGAAAGAAAGTAAAGAGTAGGATAAGGAGGAGAAATTTTATGGAGAACACCATTCTCATATAAATTACCGCTCAATGCCCTCTCTTTTGGAGGCTGATCCAGTTTGAATGTGATCCTTCTTGCTGTTGTCTCACTTGCTTTTTGTTTGATATAAATATAATCATTAGGTCTACATCTTTTTGATATAACATCTCTGAATCTCTTGCGGATAATTTGCGCCACTCTTTATCATCTTCGCCATAAATATGTCTCAATAGCTTATGCTTCACTGCGTCAATTTTATTTTATAATCAATTTACATTTTTCGCGTTATATATTTATTTATTCACATCTTAATGTTTTCTAACAGAAGTCATTAACAAAATAATTCTTTACCGAACAATCATCCATTGAAATTATATCGGAAATTTTTGCAACTATTCATTTACAGTTACACTTAGAAATAAGTTTATTGGAAGGAAGATTGTCCTTTGATGATTGAGCAAAAGTTTATCCGAGATGCATCCCCTAATTGATCACCATCCCTTCACCCACTTTTGAATCTTGAAAAACTGAATGTCATCCCTCTTTCATTCCTCTGTCTCTCACTCACTCACTCACTCACATTTTCACCTATTCCTTCAAGAAGTGAATTCCAACATTCGTTTAAGTAATGTGTAAATATAAAAATTGCGTTTTCTAGAGATCATTGCCCATTGTTTCACCTAATGCTATGTTTATGTTTAGGCTATTTGTCTGCGTTTTGTTCTTAAAAGATTGTAAAATTCTCCCTTTACTACTTTTGTGTTTCAAAATTAACATTGTTATGCTCGTTGCTACGAATGCAAGCTCCAAACCACATGTGGGAAAAATGATTGGATTTTCGATTGTTCAAATAATCTAGACCAATCACCTCTTGTCGAAGGAATTACTGATCTTATATTGGAGGTAATGACTCAGTTTTTGGTTCGGTGATTCATTAATAAAATAAAGTAAAAGATTAAGAGTGTAGCAAATATTTATAGCAGTAGAGCAAGGGGTTTTTTGTAATTATCCTCCCTTCTTCAATATTTTTAGGCATTTCATTTATACGGTTTCACATGCCCAAAAATGATTCTACATCACTGGTATCTCAGATTTTAAAATGGTCGAAACTGAATCATTCTATCAGTTTGTGCAACGCGCTGGACCTTCACATAACCTACTCTGCGATTATTTTTTACCAGACAACAATAATGTAACATTCATAGATACAAAAAACGTAGTAACGGTAACTATTCTGGACAAATTAGAGACAAATTTGCCTACTGTTGTGGCATCTGGTGCTATGCATTTATGCGCCAACAATCAGGTAAATTTTGAGATTGTCACCCCAATTCAAGAAGGTGTATTGAGGTTTTAAAAACATCTGTGCAAAGTGTGCTCAATGTACTGGTGTATTTCTTCAGCCGAAGTTACATCCTTTCTTTGAAATCGGATATTAGGGAATGTTTTCTGAATTGGAAAATTTGATTTGATTAAGATTATCTACTAGCTTAACTTCTTTTATTGTTATATTTAAAACTGAATTTTTGATTAATATGTCGTCCACTGAGAGTGGGTTTTCGCTTTGTCAGTATTTCTAACAATATTATGTAAAATATTGTTCATTTAGATTCTTTCAACCCGTGCAGAAAATATAAATGTAAAACTTACAGGCTTATCTTATGTTCTGTAAATGCGATTTGAAATATGCAATGAAATCAGTGACTGTTGAAGAATGTGGACAAGACAAATATTGTTTTAAGATCGATAAATGTCATCAGCGTTGCATGAAAGTGCGTTTTCTTTCTGTTCATGTTCTTACACTATTTTTGGTACCATCGTCAAACAAATAATAATGTAAGTCCTATGGCATTTTTGAGAATGACTGAAACCGAATGTAATATGTTTTGTGTTGTTGGTAAGAACTACATTCAGGATGTAGATCGGCGTCCCAGTTTTTTGATCGAACTATGAGGTAGACGACTGATGTTGCCAAAGACATTTGACCATTTTTTAGAATCCTTAAAAAAATTTTATAGATCAGCGGTGTGTGGAATAAAGATATTGACTATTCAAGATTGCCGATATATTATAGCGCATTTGAAGATCGCCAACAACAACATTTACTTGTTCATGTTTATGAACAGCTAGTCAATATCACGTTAAAAACACGCAACATGGATGTGTGCAAAAATATCACTGTCGATTTGTACGACACTGACTTGTTCGTTCAATTATTTCATCAATACGAGTTACATAAAAGCCGAAAGAGCTTTAAATATGACAGAAAGGACTGAAATAATTTTTAACTAAACTTAAATGACAAACCTTTGCTTGGAAATTGTAACAAATCTATTACATTTCATTTATAAGTTATAGCGTTATTTGTTTTTGCACAGTTATACTTGTTTCAGTACTGAGAAAACTCGTCAGCTCTATAGAGATTTGATGGGATTTATGGTTGCTGATAAAGCACGTTATTTCCAAATCGCTATTGAAAAGTAAATTTTTTTTTTATTTCGAAAGCAAGGGTAAAAGTGAATATATTTCAGGGCACTTTGATTTTTCAAAACTTGTTTTTTTTTTTTCTCTTAATTCTTATTTTCTTATTTTTAAATTATTTCATGATAGATCCAGCTTACAAACAATTATTACAAATAAGCAGACAAGAAGTGAAAAAGTGGCGTATATGGAACTAAATTCTGAAAATGAGTTTCATTTCTTTGAGTATGATTCCGTCGTTACTTTCATGGATCGACGTGATTATCTGGGATCCTTGTACCATATAAACGGAGTATGTTATTTTCGAATCTTCAGTTCTATTTTACTGAAAAAATGGAAATGAGCGAATTTGATTTTCAACCTATATAGCATCATTGCTTCTGTTGTGTAAATTATTTAAATCCACGATGCAAGCGAATTACAGGTGTCAGGTGTGGTAGCCATTGAAACACAACCAGTTGGTTATGGGATTGCCGTCAACAACAGTATTCTTCAGTGTTATGCTGATACTCCCGAAATAGCTATGTAAGGAGCAAGAGTCTTTAAGGAGCTTCTAAAGTTGATTTCTAGAAAGCTTAGTGATAAATTTTCCAGTGGTCTGATTCGAAAGCTGAGTGATAAGATGTCAGATCAAATCCCAATAACAATGTTCATACGTGACTGCAATGGCTGGATTTGTAAGGAACTTTTGAATAAGGCACGACAAGTAAACCGCATTCATCGTTTTCACAGTCGCATACTTCCTACTCGTATTAAATGGGAAAATGTATTCTTGATGAATATTGGTACTCATTTATTTTGAACACTTTTTTTCTTCTGCATTTTCATCAATTTCTTCTCAGGAAAGTGAAATTAAAAAGGAGATTAAATACTGTATTTAAAACATTTGATCTCTTTATTTTTGTCGCTGAAGTAGAGCCATTTTGGTAGTAGTTTTCAAAAATTGTTAGTATTTGTATTATTAAAATTAAATGTATTATATAGAATATAAGTTTATGTGAGCTGATAAAATGATTTAAGAATGAAAGCATTTGAAGCTATGAAAAAAGTTAACTATTCCTAAATAAAATATAAGAGAAGGATGAAGGAATAAAACTATGTTTTTGTTTTCTTTTTTTTTATTAGTCATTTAAAACTTCCGAAATGCAACCGAAAGATTTGAAGTGATTATTTGGATTTAAAATCTACCACTCACTGCTCTTCCGCTCTCGATCAGATCAGAACTAAGAACAGCATGAAATCGTCAACGTAGAAAAAGACAAATTAGCCGATTCCACAGAATTGGAACATTGTTGCAGTTTCTGTGCTTCTAATTTAATCTGTCTCTTCATTGAAAATATTCACAAAATTAAAAACATTGCTAACGGAAGATTCTTTTATCGTTTCGTTTACGGCTTTTTTAAATTTGCAAGTGTGGGTCTTCGATTTTGGAGCAAAGTATAAATTGAAGTTCTTATTCCGTGATATCTGCTAAGGTTTCATTGCAAAGGGTATCCTGAATTGAAACAAACTTCATCTAAAAGTTGGGGAAGGAGGTTCATAACTGAGTTACTTTTATTTTAAAACAACTATCCATATTTTATAAGTGACAGTTTTAATGCAGTATAACAGTAGTCTCTTTAGAATAGCTGTGGAGAAGTATGCAATTCGAGATAAAATCGTTGAGAAAAAAATATGTATTTAGTGAGTAATAGAATAAATAAAAAGTGACTAGAATCAGATGAATCTTTAGCACTTCCCAGAATTAACTGCAAAAGATTATTACTGATTTCAACTCGAAAAATTCACGGTTATATCGGTACGTTTACAACGTGAAATAAACCCCTCACCTACTGAGTTCGATTCCGAATTGCACTATTACCATATGTAAAATATCCAGAGCCATAAAGATTGTATGGAATTATTTGACTAATATTAATTTTGTATGATTATTTGACTGCCTTCATTGTTACTAAGTAGACGCACAACGGTCTTCTCATATCATCGACGAAATCGAAAATGGTGCTTTAAATTTGATGGTTGCAGCTATTTTTCTGTAAAAATAAAAGTAGCTTCAGATGCAAATCCACTTCTTTAGTTGGATGCAGTTTGTCTCATTTCAGGAGATACCTTTCGCAAATGTCATGGGACAAGAACTTCAATTTAAACTCAAAGTTTGGCTTACTTTGCTCTAAAAGTCGAGGACCCACACTTACGAATTTAAAAAGTAAACAGATGAACGAAACAACCTCCTGCTAGCAATGTTTTTAGTTTTGTGAATGTTTTCAACGAAGGAACGATCAAACTAATTAGCAGCACACATTTCCGTGGATAGTTCCATGCTCGAATTCTTAAAAACAGGAAAGGTTCAATTCTTTCGGGGCTGAAAACCTTGCACCACGGATTCGAGAATGCGACAGTCGCACACTTTTGTTGCTTCAGAAGTGAAGGAACTAAACCAATGCAGTCTAACAAAATGAAAATCCATATCTTCTGACTTCTTTAGTTCATTCAAAACACCACTACTCAAACAATGCATATCCAATTTGCACTTAGCAGAAAACATCTCCAAGACCATAAATTAAAAACATAATCTGAAGAGTGAAAATTTTATATAAGATTTATTCACATTTTTTCGCATGCAAGAACATATATCACGATTCCAAAAACTACGTAATATAAACAAAAAGGGAAAACACATGTGATTAACTACAGTGGCAAACTAAACTGCTTTTCTTCCAAATCACGAACAAGCTTCAGCTGGTAGTGAGCAAGCGGCGCAATTTCAACTGGTACAACAGTGATACGGATGCATCGAATCGGTCGAACAGTGGTATCTAGCAGTAGATAGCAATAATCATTGGAGTGAACATCCTCAATAGATATATCTTCAGCAATTCTGTTTAATAAAAGCCGACCTGTCCCATCTTCCACTTCCAGAGGTTCAGCAGATATGATCCGAGCAAACACACAAGTCCATCCATCCAGACGACAAAGAGCCGACGAACAATCATCACGGTATAACTTCATGCTTATTTTCGTGCGGAAATCCTGACATTTCCACTCTTATTACGAGAAAAGCATAATTCTTTAGCTGGATCAAGATAAAAAAAACCTGCGTTTAAATAAAAAATCTGCAACCCCCATTTCCACAAAAAAGTGCATAAACTGAAAACTTACTATATCCCCAGAGTCTTCATAAAATCCGACGTCGGACAACGACCAAAAACCAGATGACACAAATAACAAAATAACTGCTCACGTTGATTCCCCAAAATTGCTTCCTGGTGTTAAAAACGTTAAAACTTCTACAATCGTTCAAAACCTGCAAACACCGAAAAAGGCGCAGGCAAAAGTCCTTTGAAAAAATTGTCACAGCTTGATAATATTTTAACCCATTATAGTCATTTTCACAAATGATGTGCAAATAGAACCACTAATCAGAAACAGTAAAAACATCAAAGATCGCACCTTCTGTGAGGAACAAAATAAAACAGATCATACCACCAAAGACAATAAAAAGAAAACCAGTAATTTAAGCATTAAAAAAAGGGATATAATCAGATAAAACTTCTTCCTATAAAAATAGTTATAATTATAAAAATACTTGGCAGTTAATACCATAGGCATTCTCACAAAAAGGTTCTACATCCTTTCAGGTATTGCTATATTACAGTTCATTTCATTTTAATGATAGAACATAAAGCGTAAACACTATCAAAAAGCGATTACCGCATTATGAAAGTATATTAGGAATTAATAGTTCAGAAATACAGTAGAATCATATGTCGAGTCTGACTATATGACACATGAAAGAAACCTTAGTCAAAGAGAAATTTATGAGAATCCAATTAGAAAATACATTTGCATAAGAAGTTTGTCTGTGCTCTTCATGAGCAAGTGAAAAAAACAGATGCGATTAAAATATATAAGACTTAATTCAATAGTAGAAGAGATCTGGATCACAGAATTGTTCCTATCATATCCACTTATATTACTTATTCTATTTAGGAATATCGCTTAAGATTAACTATAGCCATTAAAAAAGATATCGTAAGTAACAGAATCACATACCTAACTACAGAAAAACTTCAAAAATCCTAATGAATTATAAATTTTTAGCAAGCTTAATTATATTCGGAATTTTCATTTGTAAATGTTGAAGGATATCAGGTTCTATAGAGCGAATAATCATTTGCTCCACGGTGAGCGCTGTTTGCGTATACGAATCCGCAAAATTTTTCCTTGGAAATTTTGTAGACCACCATTTTGCCCTCAGTCCAATATTACTAAACACAGCTTCGTAAAAGACCTGCAAACGCTTCCTTGGAAAAATCTCTTGCAATGATGATGAACAACCGAATTATGTTTTTCGTAGAATAATTGAGACATCAAACACTAAGTTGGATCATACAATTTCAGTTTTTAGTGTAATACTAAATCCTTCGCTTGATCAAATGAGGAACAATGAAATTTGCTCAAATGGGGAAAAAACGGTGCAAAACGATCTGACACATTCTTTAAGCAGTATAAATTAGGAACATCGTTTCATAGTATATTACAATTTCTATGAAATTTCAGGGATGCAAAATATTATTTCCTACCACAATAACAATTATAACAATCTAATAAAAAAAAGAACCATTTGTCCAACTTCAACCACATCGGTTAAGCTTTCGGCAAATAGGTTGCCATTGTTGCCTCCCATCCAAGTTAAAATTGGACACATCACCTTTTCACTGCGATTGTTCATCACGCAAACCATTAAATGATCTGTCCAAACAATTATTCCTTTACCTGAAAAAACTTGATAAGGTGAATCGGAACATTTTTTAAATGATATGCAATGTTACAAAGCTTTATAAGAGAAAAGTAACCATTATCTTTTTATCAAAATGGTCACCAAGTGTATTGTATTTCCTACCTCATAATTTCTAAGAGGACAAAAATATGAAAGTGAGCAATCCCGTAATTTAAGGTAAAACGCACTGTTATTATATTTACATTATTAAACTAGGGAACCAAATATTTTTAAATGCTCAGGCAGCATAACAGATTTGTTAGTCCTTTAAAAAAATCTCTACAGGCTCTACAGAGCCTATTTCTATGAGAACTTAAATGGTATAATGACTAAGCACATAAGAAGACATCAATTAAAATACCTCGTTCTATATGATCATTAGAGGAACTTTCATTACCGATAACACTCAGTACAGAAGACGCAGCAGCATTTAAAGCGGTAATTTTGCTAGCATATTCAGCAATCCAATTGCAACCACATCTAGGCGCTTGTGAACGAATACGAACTATGATGCTGTCACCAACAGCCAAATAACTATCCAATTTTATTACCTCGGATTGTTGAAAAGCTGCACCAGGAATGAAAACCATACCTAGTTCACCATTGCAGGCATATGCATACGTTTCGGTTACTAATGTAATTGTGACAACCTAAAATACTTTTTTCTCCGATAAAAAAACAACTCATTTGGTTCATAACATCTTAGTTGTAAATCTCGCGATTACATATGCGATAAAACATTTGAGAACTAGAACTTCGAACTATATTAATCTTTAAATGATATTGCTGATGCATTCTCGATAAAATGAATTCAATCCTTAAAGGTACTGTTTTCAATTTAAGTGAGGTACCTGTTGGAAAGTGCTGATCTGACGACACGGCGCCTGATACAAGTCATTCTTTGCTGACGGTGTTACCTGAATTAAAACCTCTACTCATGATCCAACATGAAGTTACAGTAGTTTTGCTGGTTATCAAAAACTATTAATAACAGGCCTGAAAGCATCCACTCCAACTAAAGCACTAAACAATAAATTTCAGCAAACTTGAGAGAAAATTTTGGAAGTACCTTTGTGGCTAGCCACTGGCATTCGTTCTTGCCTTGCTGTGGTATTGCTGTGAAATGAACGATGTCACCAGCCTTATAAAAAAGGGTCAAATCAGCACTGTGGCAATTTCTCGGAAGGGCTGAACACGGTGGGACGAACACACTTCCATACTTATCATTCGTTAAATAAGCGAACTTAACATCAACACGAGTTATTTGACCCGTTGACGAGATTTCTTTTTTCCTCTCCATGCAGGCCTGCATGAAAGCAACGGTAAGGCACTATTTCTATATCAGACGAAGCACCAAATAAAGCAGAGCTAAATCGCAAAGCATCAAATCTACCAGATCATCAATCATCTAAGTCATATGCAAAACTTCGCCCTTATAGCTATACATTATCAACTGGAATGAAAGAGAGCACGTAAATACAGCACTTGTAGGCAAGAATATACACATATATTATTTACGAAATTGTATGAAGTCAAATTATACATTTTACTCATCAAAATTCAGTTGGAAGCAAGCACCACACAATATAAATAGGTAAGAAATGAATGTAGCGTAACTCACAGTTTTATGGGATTAAGAGAAAAATATCCTGAAATTATGTATCACACTACTTTGCTTCTCCATTTCTTATTCGTTTCAAAACAATTTTAAGGACGAATCCAACACAGTTACCATACAATTTATCATTTTGTAGAAAGAGAAACTGTTTATCCGTGTACATGAAGTTTGCTGGAACAAGAACAAAGGAACATCATACAAATAATAATGCAAATTAGTACAATCTTTTGACTTTACAAACAACAAGATATATTTCTATTATTTAATAGGCTTTCTGCATGTAAGCAAAACCAATCTAATCAGTAAATCCTAAGCAAAAAAAAAAAACTGTCCGCTGGACAGTTAAATAGGCGCTAAAACCATAATGAAATATAAATGAGCACTTAATTCAAAAGCAACAGAATATGGGTACTATGAATCGTTCATAGGTAAATGGTCGGCAAAGTGAAAAAAATAATTATTAATGACGAATGATAACCACTTCTCTTTAAATTTCAGTTCCTTTAAGAGAGCAATTTCTACTCTCAAAAAAAAAAAAAAAAAAAAAACAGTAAGTAACTGATTCTGTGACATATCACAATAAAATGTCTGGAGCAAACAGTAAGTGGGAAGGCAAGGGTATCAATAGTAAACTTAGAAAATAATAAGAATCAAAAATCATTTGTATCACGTCACTTCCAAATTAATATAAATTGAAAAATTTTGACAGATATGCTGAAGTTAAAAATACAAGACTTTTTAATATTGTGAACGTAAAGAAGTTCGTTTACGATTCCTAACTACACCGTTGCTCGTATCTCTTTACAATGCATCATGCACCGCTTTCTTCACACCTTCTACAATATGGTGAAATGCTCGCACAGCATCGTTGTCCATCGGGCAAGAAGCCCTTATTCGATGCATTGCCATTTCAGAAATCCCATAGTAGTGAACAAACGCAGCAATAACGACACATATGTGAAAGAGTTGATGAGACTGGAACTGAAAATCAGAGCTAAATGGTCTTCTGATGTTTTAACTCACTCTATCCTAACGGAGGAAAGTAAATGATTTCCAATTACAATATTAAATAATACAAATCTCTGAATTTGATTTATTATGCTAGAAAACATGCCAGAATATCACATTTTCCAGGAAAGAAGCGTTCCGGAATACGCGTAGCATACAACAAAGTGCCAAAAATATATAATGAGGCCATTAATAAGAGCCAGTGAAACGCTGCATCTTCGAACAATGTACGCACACCATCTGTGATCATGAAATGAATTGTTGGTACTACTCCTGAAATAAACTATATTATGAAGGCTCGACAGTTCGGTTATATTTCCATTACTGTTTGAAGACTGCCGAATTACAGGGATAGCTTACTTTTCAGTATTAAAAATAAAGGATGTCTGAATGTAAGTAAAGAAGTGCACTTTCTCAAAGTATGAATAATTTATAAAGAGGAAAAAGAAATTGTAATTAAACCAAAATAACAGAATAGGAAGTAGTCATATCAGGCTAGGAAATGATGTCAATATATGCAGAGTTGCCCTGATCTTCCTGAAGCTGTAAGAAATATTCAAAGTTAAACTACATATTACCACTACATCCCATTGCCAGAAAAACGCCAGCTCTGAGAGGTCGATATCTTGACTCGCTAAATTTGTCCCACAATGAAACAATCACGGCACCCAAACCCAAAACACAGACCATCGCGATATAAGTTATTTTTGGCTCACGCCGACAATAAAAACCATAATATAGCCAAGGAACGAATGAGCCAATAATCAACAATGATATACCCAAATAATCTAATCTGTAATAAGTATTTGGTATCGCGTAACAATTCGTCCTACTAGTGAAAATTTTTTTAATGTTGATATTGAAATTAATAAACTTAAAAAATGTAATGTTGAGGACATACTTGCAGAAAATCCGGACCACAGCAACTGAATGACAGCTAACTGTATGGAAGGTGAATGACATACCAAGACAAATAATTGCTCCAGCAAAAAAAAAGGAGAACACAACTTTCTCCTGGAAACGAATGTCGGTATCTGGCCGTGTCATAAACCAAGCAGCCAACAGTGCAAATGCTAGACAGCCTACAAAATTTTTATTGGATTACAGCGAACCGAACAGATCACCCGGTAAAAAATATATATATATATATTTGTGTGAAAAGCATAACCAAAGTCTTAATCGATTCCACGTAACTAATTCTCCTGCTACAGCACTTTTTTTTTAAACTGGAATTTTTTTTAAAAGCTTCTCACACAAATATATATTACCTCTGTAATTCCTTTCCAACCAGTACTTTCTATCCATTCTCTTTTTGCATTTATAAGAACCACTCCATACAATAATGAAACAAAAATTCTCCAGCTACAAACGTTTTCAACAAATGGTTCGGAGACGCACCAATTAAATGAGTCCAAATATTTCCAGTTTCAGTATGAATGGATAATATGCTACGGAAACATTGTGCAAAGCTTGGCAAAGGTGGCCGATGTCCGTGCCTCAAATATTCGTTATCTTGAAGCCATTCTGGTAAATATTCGAATTTTTGTACACGCCATGTCGCCTCCCAAGACTGTAAATCCAACTAATATCATTTTGAAATGTTAAAAAAATAATTCAAAATTGAACTGGAATATTAGCAGCTCTACAGTTCTAGAATGAAGCATTGGTGTCAGAATACAAGGAAAATGCGTTGAGTTATTAGAGAAATCTGGCACATGTAGAAAAGCATATGAAAGTGATTAAACAGAGAAATAACAAACATGGACTGTCAATGTTACGAAAAATTCTAAAAAAAAGATTACACTGAAGAGGTACTATAAATTATATTTTTATAAGAATTTTCTTATTAAAGTCGAAACGTTAGAGATTTCATTGTAGACAACGAAAAAATTTGTTGGTAGCGCAAAATCTAAAAATGAAAGCTGGAAATTTCACTCTTAATACCTTTTTCACGAAAGGTTCTCCATCGTCATCCTGACCATACTCTGTTTTTACCTCAACCTATAAATATGAAAGTCAAATTCTGATTCATATGAACTCAGTACAGATTTAAATAATCAAGAAAAACGTTAGAAGTAAAGAACAATAACTGACACACCCAATTTATTTCCCATCGACTTTTGATTTATATTTGTATTATTTCCTAGAGAAACATTATTACCTCAAAATGTCCATCATCTTCGCCTTTCAAACCATCATCTAAGCGCCAATTATCACCACGTTTTCGACGATAATGAACATTTGTACAACGAGACAGAACTTCATCGGAACTTCCTTCTCCACTATAAGTGTAACTGTGAGAAAGAGAACTGGACATAGTTCGTGACGGCAAAAGTGATTCTGAATCACTCTCTGAAAAAACTCCTTAAAGAAACGTAAATCAAACTACATCTTGACATCAAAATACCGCAAGACACTTTAATTACTGTAGCATATGATTTAGAAATAACTCACCGTCACCTTCGTCATCTGTATTGGGTTGAGAAGTAACAGTACTCCGAGTGACAACAATTTCAATAGGATCTCCGTGTCTTCCGGTTTTCACTACCTTGAAATTTTAGAAATTTAAGGTCTCGGAAAATGGGGACTTCACGGCTTTAATAGATCTAATTTTATAGCTATATAAAAACTGACAAGTTAATAATAACCTTTATATGGTTACAAATATTTACTAACTTTCCATATAGCTTCGCATATACCAAAACAGTGAGAAAAAAAGTACCGATTCAAGAAATACGTACAACCAAAACTATACAGTTATATTTACAGCAAAGCTGCAAGATAAACATAAAGGATCCATAACGAAAATATGCAACGAGAATAATAAAACACTGTAAAAATAAATACTTCGACAGTTGTCGATTCTTCTAGCAAGTGTTCCAAATGACGTTCACGTGGTTTCCCATCGATCATCATTTCCTGAGCTTCTTGAAGAGCTTCATTAACATTCAACAAAAGATTCCCAGTCGTTATCCTACTATGTGATAAAGTTGCATCGTTTATTTTTTTACTGTCCATTATGTAAATTGTTGTGCTGCCACTTCAAAGTGTCTGCAAATTTAATTAAGTTCATTATTACTATTTTTAACCCACCATGCAGTCAGATTAATGATTGGATGAGTTTCGGTTATAAAACGCAAAGGTTCTATAATTAAAAGACTATTCTGCATGAAGAGATGTCTGTGACGTTAACAGACTAGTTGCAAACAGAGTAAGTGTTACTCTAATCAACGCATACAGTCAACCTTTTAGCCACCAACATTTGCAATCAAAATCAATCAGTAGAAGAGCAACTCGAATCACTACTAAAAAAACTATATTGATGTTCCATAGGAAAGATAAAATGTTCAGTGTCACTAAACAGTAATACATTGTACTGAGAAGAAGAGATGGGAACCTTCATCAATTTCTTTTCTCTTATTAAGACAAAAGAAAATCTTAAAAAAAAAAGGCCTCTTGTAAGAGAATTATCTCGGCGATAACAATAGGATGACACCGAAAGCACGAACAATCTCAGTAATAATTTTTAAAGCACAACAAAAGTACTTAAATCTCTCTAACCAGCTGTCAGCATGATAGCATAGTATGGTTAACAATAAACCTACAAAATTTGAAGAGGAAAGAAGAGAATTTTCTACTTTAAAAAATAGTACTGATGGAATGGAAAGGAAAACACAGCATCACCTCTGAACTCCTTCTACGCTCAGTTGAAAGAGCATAACTCGGGTCCCTTCCATCCCCCTAGCAGTTACTAGTCATACAAAAGTGACACTACAAACCGAACTCAAAAACCCCAACCACTGTCATCCACGAATTAACGAAAACTGAAATAGGGTTGATGAAGAGTAAGTGTGCAACACTGATGTATTTCGTACCACTCTGCCTGGACCCGCCATGAAATTGGACACAGGAAAGGTACGAAAAGGATAAATCATGATGTGTGAAGTATGACGAGTGACAGGAAGGAAGAAGTGTGAGAAGTTTCTAGCAGTAGGAAACAGAGAGAAATTAAAAGCAGTGCTTCATTAAAGCGTAGTCATTAAATTGTAAGAAGATGCTAATTTTGAACGTTTGTTATGGTCTTTCCTGTCAAGCTACTGTTGTATTAAAAACCAAAATTGGTGCTTACGATCTGTTCGTTGAGTCCTTGTGTGCAAATACATAATAAATAAGTGAATCTGTTACTTTCTTCTTTCACTTCAACAATTAATTTCAATCTTTATTAGAGTTGCCTGTTTGAAACCAATGACAATAAGGAAAGTTGAATAATGGATATCCCTGCGCTATTTAATATTTTATTGCGGTTTCGGGAAAATGCTGTTCCGTTGTTAAAATCACACCAGTTTATAATCAACTTATTGCTTTTTTGTTCAGTGGTAAATAACGTGTAGCAATGCCTGCTTTATGTAATTTACCTATCCAAAAAGTAGGACATTGCTTTTTGAGAGCAATTCAATATTGCACAAACACGCATTGCTCTGATAAGGATTCCTGAGAATTGAAAGTAGTAATGAAAGAAAAGTTTGCTGCATGTGCATTTCAGGGAATCGAAAATTTTATTATTCCGCGGAATATAAATATAATGAATATGGAATATGCAGAATACGTCATACTGAAGTAGCTGTACACAAAAGACAGACAAATCATGCAGCTTTTAGTAACTTAGAAAATCAGGTTTGATATTGCTTCGAAATCATGCCGGTTTCAGAGACAAAATTTATAGCTGGTTTTTATTTACAGCAAAGGTAGCAATGAAAACAGCAGGTAAATTCAAAGCGGATCAAAAGAGTGATGCAATATTCTTCAACGGATGCCTAGAAGAAGTTAATGCTACGACAGCAAAATATTGGCGTTAGAGCTATTGTTAAAGTTATTAGTTGCCACATAAAATTTGGAGTTGTTTTTGAAACCTTTGATTCTTTTTCGCGTCTACGAAAAATGCACGAGTTTTGTGTTTCCACGCTTAAAGTGTGCTCTTAATTTTTAAATTCAGTATTACATTTGTGCTTCTTGTCATCCATACAAATTGCATAAATTAAATATAAACACTTGGTTATTGCATTTTTTGAATGATGACAGGACCTCGAAACTGTCGTGCGGTTTTATACGAACAGAACATATGGTAAAATCATTTGGTGTTAAAAGAAAATAGCATAATATGAAACGAATCACTGCTCAAATTTAAATAAATACAGAAAAATCAATAAATCATAATACCAGGAATGAACAATGAAAAATTTAGTCAAGAGAGAAAACAAATTTCCATTTCCATTCTTGCACTAAATTTTAAAGTTAGTAAATGTAGTTATAATAAGAATATGAGCAAGTAAGTATAAAATGGATTCAGAAATTACAAAGTGCTTCCCACATATCACGTGTGACATATGTGGCGTATACGAACATTACATCTGTATTTTGGTGTCATTATGTCATATGGAGAAGTATGCAATTTTTAAAGACATTTGATTATACTTTCATTATACCATTGCATTTGGAGTGATTCACTAGCCAACACAAATGATTTAATTAGTGGTGTTTACTTTCGAAATGATTTTATCTGAGCTCCCTATTGTTCATCATAACATTCACCACTCGAGTGAAGTTTCTTCCTACCTCATATCTAATTTTTTGTTTTAATAAAGTGCAAGCAAAAATATTCATTTGAACTTAAAATGCGGATATACTTTTCTAGTAAGTTGTATTTTGCAGATTAAAGGACCGATTAAAATTTGTGTCTCTCCACACATATATTTTTGTTTCTTTTTTTCCAAATTCTTTTTTTCAAATAAAAGCTATTTTCCAAATAAATGCCGGAATCATTCTATTTTGTCATAAAATGTCCATTACAGTTAAGAGTGTTTTACCTAAGATATGAAAATTTAAAGTGATCATTAACGGTGGTATTTCTGTAAAACCGAGAAGTATGTGTTCAAGATCTGATATGTAGAGGATACATGAAAGTTTTTTTAGCTTTTGCATTACTAGTAAATTGTTAGCAGTTTCGCTACTAATAAAGAACTGAGGGAAAACGAAGTCCCGCACCAAAAAAGAGACAGTTGTCAATTTCCTCTTGCTTTGTCATGTTTAAATGTTATCTTACTTTGAACATTGGTCATTCGCGTTATCTTTGATATCGAATCTCCGATTCAATTTTCAGTCTTCAATCTTTTCACATTCGGCTTCACTGCTTGCTTAATCGTTCAAAAACGGTTGGTGATAAGAAGTGAATAATTAGCCCAGTGGAGATGATTTATTTGACAGCTCATATTCAAGTCACTTCTTCAGTTCAGCATGCAGAATACTAGTTGTAGATAGAGGCCTCTGTTCTTCTTGCAATGTGGGATATGGAGCTAGATTAGACAACCCATTCCGAGAGCTCAAAGCAGGCAACTTCTGTACACATGCAAAGTCGAACCGCTATTTCATTTCATAGATGCATCGTCATTGTAATGACTAGTTATCTTCCATACATTACAACGAGCATCAAAAGTAAGAGAGTTAAAGGCAAGTGAGAGAATACTAGCTATACTAATGAAGTACTACCTGCATCCAGCATATAGCTTCGATAAAAGTTGCGAAATCGACTCACAGCTAGGTAAAAACAAAGCGAAAACAGTTCTGCACTGTATGTGTGCAAACATAAGCAAGTGCAGATGATGAAAGAGGGGTAGACCGCCTCAGGCCTTCTATGCATACGTCTGTGTCTGTGTCTACCTGTGTATGTGTGTGTGTATGTGTGGCGGAATGCTTATGTCACAGTGGGTGGAGGTGAGTATGACATTGAACAGTGCCGTAGGAAGAATTTGTATCTGCAGGAGCAGAAGTAGGAGTAGCAGGGACCGGAACAGTATCGATCGTGGCCATTTGCAGTGGTCTGATTGTACCTCTAACCTACGCTTACTTGAGTGAACCATCCATCATTGTGCTTGCCGACGACTACAAATCATAACTGTAGCTGCTAGCTGAGTATTCTAAGCACACTGAACTAAAACGTCTTCTACTGTATCTTTGTTTTTTTAATTTTCTATTTATATTAAAGCAACTAGATGCTGAAGCTTGCTTGCATTCTCGTTAATCACTGTATCATTCATCATCTTATCATCGATTTATGATCTTTCAGGCATAATTTCATTGGCGGACAGCATATTTGCTTCTGTTGTAATTCCTGACATTTTATTTTACTTTTTTATTATAATATATTATTCAAGGGTCCAAATGAAATAGGACAAGTGTTCAATGAAAGGTATATATAACTTTCATTCTTTAAACCATGATACAGGAATAAAAAACAAAAGTTCTTTCGAAAAAATCTTTCTGATTCACACTTAAACAGACATTTTCAACAGAACTATTATTTCTTTGTGATTGTATATGTGTAAGTGTCATCCGTTTACAAATGAACTTTTATTCGCCTCTTTACACGTGAGGCTACAGTATATTTTAGAGGTTAAGAATTTATAAAATGCGAAGGATTTCGTGGATGTAATTATAAAGATTAAGGTTTCCAAAATTTTTGGAAACTATCTAGTACTGGATAAAACTAAATGGATAAATGGTTTGAGCCCGAACCTGACCTAGTTAGGACTGTAGTGATAGAATGATTTTTTTCCAATACAGATACCAAAATAGTACTAAAATGACAAAGTGGAGTGTAAAAAACTTTACAACTTCAGTAATATTTCGTTTCTTCTGGAAATTTCCAGTGTTTAAAACTTGAACATGAATGAGATACACTTGAATGAGGTAAACCAATGGTAATGCTTCTTTCAAGTCTTCGTCTCCGTTTGATCACTTTGATGTACATTGTAGTCGAGTAAGCCTTGGTGATTAAAAATTGGGCTGGTTTTAGATAAGCATAAGTTTTGTTAATGAGCAGCAATGTCTGCGATTTTCCATTATTATCCTGGCAGGAAGTAACGTTGAAAATTATATTTGTATCAAAGTATTAACAAACAATAACAAAAGCAATAGTATTCTCATATCCCATGTATCGTGTCAGTTTTAAGGAAATGATGGAAAAAAAGTATCGCTGCTGTTCAGTTGAATAAAGCAAACTTACTGGATCTGAACTGGTCATTCCGTCAAATTTATCCAGTTACTGTGTTATTGATATGACTGGTCGATTGCAGTTTGGTGAGACGGTATGTCGTCTGTGTTTGTAAATAATGTGAATTGAATTGTGAGCCCCAGTGGCGTTTCTTCACTTCAGACTGCACACATTCGCCTGTCCTTTTGCTTAGTATCTCAACCATCCAGCTTCAGGATGCCGGAAATTAACACGTGTGCAGGAAGCACTGTATCCGTTCTTCTGATGTCCTTTCATGACCTAAATGTATGAATATCATTTCAGACGGGTGACCAGGAGAATCCCGATACATTTCTCTCCATTCAATAGTAATAACAGGAGTTTTTCTCTACATATGCAAATGTAAACATAATATATCACTGTAAATTTATGAATAGGTTTATCGGCAAGAACCATAACGTTGTTACTTCCCTATTCAAGTTACTTTTTCTACGTTGAGACGTGAAAATAAATGAGATGAAGTATAGTACCCGAAGAGTACTATGTAACCCATAATTACATCTCTAGTTATCTTTTCTTTTTCATATTTCCATATATTTTCACTTTTTTCCATTTCACTTTTAACTGATCTAACTTTTCCATCTTCCTTTTTTCGTTGTTTTATGCATTTTCTCTTCTAAGTCTAGAGAAATCGTTGTATTTATAACTTATATGTAAGTAAAATGAACTAGACCATAGGAGCTAAAGCTAAATCGGCACTACTGTATTTATGTCTGACACACTTTCTTCTCTATAATGCTGAATTTTTAGATGTACTGAAATTCACGCAACTATTATTTTTACATGGCATTATCTTGGCTTCTATGATTTCAAGCAGAACTTTTATTTGTATTTCTTTTTTAATTGTTCGGATCTTCAGTTCGTTCTGGTTTCACATGTTACATCGAAAGCTTCTATCCTTAAAATCATTGTTTACATTTACGAAGGAGACATAAAGACGATTTTATTTACTGGTTCCATGCTACTGTTGCTGTGTCATATTAAAACTTTCGTGTGTTCCCAAAAAGGAGCCTTTTGCTCATATATCCATGATACCACGTCGTTATGTTGCTCTTTTAGTTTCATATTAGCCGATTCCATGATTATAATTGATTTCTTAGCCTACTTTTTTTTGAACTTTGAGAAAAGAATATCCTGGTCGTGTCCGCAGCCATTTGATACACTTTCCCTTTTTTTTTAATTTTTTAACAATATAGTAACTTTTGACTTGTGAATTCCACATCTTATCAATACCACCAAATTCAGGAGTTTGCTTTGTCGGGATTTTAATGCCGATGCGTTTTGTCTACTTCCCTTTTTTAATGTTCTCATGTAAGCTAAATTGAAAATAACTTTATTAAGAAAATTATTTCAGTGAATTGCATTCGTGATGGGTTCCTGCATGCATTTGATGATACTAAAAATTTTTCTGGTCGGGATGTGCCTTACTTTTTTATGGTAAGCGAATATAGTTAGTATCATCTTTTCATCTGAATAATATCCCTTTATCATATGGGAGAATGCTTGGGTCAAATGTTTTGTAATGAATATATTATTTTAGTTTGTAGCTGTATTTGTCAGACATTATATTGGTTTTTACAGTGGGCTTTGAATGTATTCAAGCAGACGATGCTTCAATCTGCGCATAAGCAAGCCAACAAGACAGCCTTATTTGGTCGACAAACTGCGGGTGCACAGATTGATCGAATTGGGACGCTGTTACTTGAGAAAAAAAGCCTTGAGCGGAAACGGCCTGGTAGTGCACAAGCGTATGATAATAGTGGTTCAGTGGTTTGCTCGAAACGGGCAAGAATAATGAAAGGAAAACTACTTAATTTATTGCCAGTTCTATCTGACCAAAATAACTATGAAAGTGAAAATGTGAAAAATGAAAGGATCCTGATATCGCTTGACAAAACCACGAATTGCATCTTTGGCCAGGTTGGAATTATCTTGGTTAATGTTTTGTTCCTTTGATGTAAGTGTGAAGTGAACAGAGTTCTTCAGTAATCTACACTTGTTGTTTTAAAATATTCTACTTCTGTATAATAATTATCACGAAGATGTTTTGCAACAAACTTCGAGTCCTAAAATTTGCACAAATTAGAATATTTATTCATGAAACATATGTAGATTTGAACGGCGGAAATTATGATGACTTCTACACCTATAACATAAGAGAAATAGAAAATTTAATGTGTGTACTAATACTTTTTTTGATTTTATTTTGCAGTTAGCGGTAAGCCACCTTGAAGAACTCTGTAAGTTGTTCCACACACTTATAGAAATTCTTTAAAAACTCTTCAGCATTCCAAAATTTTCTCAGCATCCGAAAAGAAAAATAAAGGTTCATTCAGCGAGGACATTGCTAATTAGTTTTCCTGAATTACATTCATTTTTACATAGAATAGTAATTTTTTTGCTGTGAAATCTGAAATATATTAATTTACCGAGTAATCTTCTTTCATTGGATTATTATAGTGTAGTCCTGCAGCGCTTAGTTCGCATGAATCAACTGGTGACGAATGCAATGAAGACCTTGGTGATTCTAGTAAATATAACCTTTTCAGTAAGCACTTTTCCTTGTTAACACTTCATTGCAAAAGTTTTGGCAGTTTCAGATTAAGAGGTAGATGTGAAGAGACAAAGAATCTTTTTAGATTTCATTTGAAATGAAATATCGATTTACGCCCACATGAGATCTTCTTAATAGTCCATAAAGTAATTTGAATATAAAACAGTTTTCAACATGACGACAAAAATCGAGTAATTTCGACAGAATATTTTTATGACAGAATTGGACACGGAGGGTGTGCCAAAACCACTTCCACATATTTTTCGAAGTGGGAAAATGGAACCGACAATTCCAAAAGTTTCGATATGTTCATTTAGGTTCGTTATCTAGCTTGCCAGTTTTACTGACGAATGTTTCGCCTTCAACATCAGCCCAGACATTCTGCTCGGTACCAGGGAGGTTGTCACTGCTATGTGCGTCCAGCAAATACAAAGTTAGCGTTGCGGAGGTTTGTTTGCTTGACCTTATTAATTAATCTTATAGTCATTTGTGTACTTTTCAATGTACAGTACTACTACACTTCGATCAAGAAAGAAATCATCATGCGCAAAAACCTTTAGTGTCTTTGGACTGCGCTGCAAACTAATGCAAAAAAGGGAAGGAAATTGCAGAGGGAACTAATCCTGCATGTATTAGCAATTGTACAGCAATATCTTCATTGCTTTTCGAAAGTTTTGAAAGTTTTGCTAGTCCAGCACATTTTCAAAAATCCTTGTTCACTAGAAACCAGTATCCTCTCTTCCCACATGTTTCTCATTCCTACTTGGTGATATTCACATCATTATTTATCAAGTAGCTAATAGTGAAAAGTTGAATAAAAACTGGATAACTAGGTTATGTTTCCTGTGAAAGTCTAAACATTCAACGAACTCTACAACGCACGCAAATTGATTTGTATCGTCCTTTCAATAACTGGTTTTTACTATTTAATCATTTTTCTTCCGAAATTATCTAGAAGTTACTACGTACATAACAGACTATAAGAGGAAGTTTTAAAACTGCTATTTCCATAAACCACCCGGATGCAGGCAACTCTCGAGCCAAACTGCGTTTTTATTTGGCACACTGATATGGTGCCAAATAAGTTCCCGAACACTAAAATCACCTAATCACTGTTATGTCGCATTTGTTGCTATTAGGACTTGACACATCACGTCAGTCAGCTATTTTAATCCCTCTTCTTCTCTTGCCCAGCTACTTCCGCCTTATTTTGTGAGCTTTTTTCCATCATGTTATGTTGCGCCATTTCTCTTTGTTATGCAGCATTGAAATATCATACTATTGTCAGAAAAATTCCATCAGTAAAATCATTTGATCGGAAAAGGAAGTATGGTAGGACGCTGAATTTTTAAACTCTTTAAGAGTTCATTACAATTGTTCTAATAATTTTCTCATATTTTTTGCAGTTAGCTCGGAGGCTTTCGCCGCCGGAATCACTGAATGCTTCTTTATTAGGTGGAATATTGAGGAGGTTGGTTTTAACATTTCACGCTATATGTTACATTAATCTTCTTGTTCCACATGTACTGGAATTGTTGATGACAACGTTCAATTGCTATGCATATATGTTTTCACAGAGGCTATATGTTACATTAATTCTAGATGCTTGTATAAATAAGTAATAATAATAATAATTATATATATATATATATGTAATATTCTGGTTTTTCACAAATGATATCTTTTCGTAACTTTTGTATGTTTCCACACAACAATGTTTTTTGAATTATTTCAGTATTTCAGAGCTAAGTCAAAAAATGGTGGACAAACGCTGCGTGATCAATTGGAACGTATTGGCTTAAAGTTGCCTGCTGGACGAAGAAAGTCAACAAATGTAACTTTACTGACATCTTTGGTAGAAGGTATGTGAATTTGTGATACATGTCTTGCAAAATAAGTTTGCAAGGAATATAAAAGTTTAAAATATTGCTTGTACTTTCATTTCTATTGAAAAGACAAGCTGTGAGTTGAAGGAAATTTCAATAATTTAGGAGAAGCACAACATCTTGCGAAGGATTTCGCAAATGCATGTTCAACTGAATTTCCTGCAAAATCGATTGCTCAGTGCAGACTTAAAAAATGCGTTACAATGTCTGTTATGGAACTGGAAAAAGAAAAAGAAAAATTCCGAACAACAAAGTTTATATTTTCAATTCCTCAACTTTTATTAAAAGACAGAACTGTGTGACACTTCTTGATTTTAGGGTTAATATTTTAATTCAGGCAGTTGCTTTCTGGTTTTATGGATATGTTGCGGCAGGATAATGTTTTATTGTCGGACAAACGGGATAATAAGATGCAGAGTTCCATGGAAAGGTTTTCCCTGATAACTCATACTTTTGGCACACCGGCAATCTTGGCAGGTAAATTTTTATTGAATTTATGCTTGATTTTACTAAAAGTTTTGTTAATGAAACGCATGAATCTTTTCATTTAGGGACAGCTGCTTGCATTTAGTGGGAAAGTTCATTTAGAATACGTTTGTTTACAGTTCTTTTTAGCGTTTATATTGGTTTGAACTTTGAAATGACAGTGAGCTTAATTGGTAATCGTTTTAATTAAACTAAATCAGGAGGAAATTTCTGAAAAACACTGATCACGTTGAAGATTCGAAGTCGATGTGCTTTTAAGCTGTGGAGGCATTTATTTTTTATATAGCGTACCATTGAAAATTCCTTTATATAATTCATTTGGTATTTTTCGGTGCACTATTCACTGATAGTTTTCATCAAAATCAAGTCATGCTTTGATCCTATGTGGAATATTTATAGGATTATCAACATTTTTAATGTATGTACAAGAATCACTGGATATATTGTCGCATCAGAGCACAGTGACAGGATTTCCTATGGAAAATTTTCTGGGTTCAAATGTCTTTTGTTCACAGCAGATCAATGGCATATGTTCAAATGATGGAATAAAGAAGTTTGATAATCGAAACTAGACAGTTTTATTTAATGAGTGCGCTTACCATACTTCCTACTCAGTTTTACTGGCATTATTGTATAGTTTTCCTTTCTTACTCATTAATATGTTGCGAATCTTCCTTGTTTTAATTCTTATTATATTATGTATGTTTTTTTTTTTTTCATCTTGCAGCAAACAGTTAAGCTTTTTTATCAGTCTTACCAAGCTATCATATCAGACAATCTGTTTTCTTACCGGGCTATCATATTACAGCAGAGGTGTATCGCTAATGAAGTTTAAGTGAAAAAAGAAAAAAATAAGAGTCATGTCCAGTTTTCGGTGCATTATATATAAGCCGTTAATTGAATTCATAATTCAGTTGAACTTTGCCATGATAGTTTGAAATGCTATCTTATTCGTATTGTTTTTGATAATATTTCTAATGTTCGTATGTATTAAATTTGGACATAGTTTTATATTGTTTACATGAGCGATTCACTTTCCTTGCGGCTATTCATATCGTTTCAAGTTCGTTTATGCCCTTCACTTATTTGCAAGTTATTTTTTTAGTTTTGGCTTTCAAATACCAGTGCTGTCAGTCATGCTATTATGCTATGAATTAAGTGCTCAGTTTTTGTTTTTTGTTTTTTATATTTCGAAGGTTTTTTCCACTTTATTATTTCATTTTTGCTTTAACTTTTCCAAACTATATAAATTCAGGGTATGTGTTTAGCAGGAGAGATAAAGTGTTTCAAGCATGTTTGTTTCGAACGTCGACTTCAGCATTGGCCTTTATCAATATAGGGCTTTTTCTTGTTCTAGATCAATTATCAATGTTGTATGATCAGTTTTAAAGGTATTCCAACATGGTAATCCAATCCGCCCAGATATAGATGTCTAAGCAGAGCTGGAATATATCAACGATGAACATCCAGTCTCGGACGCATCGAGAATTTGTAAATTCAGTTTGTTGATAAATGTTCTTGAACACTACAATATGAGAATATTTTTACAGGTAAATGTAGCGTGAGTGTATTATGCTCGAAATGATATACGTATAGTAAGTTTAATCTAAAATTGATTCGTGTGCAATGTTTCTGTAATGAAATTAGCAACAGAAATGATGAAAATAAAAACCTCTAATAATATACGAATAACGACAGTATGTATCAAAGACCTCAGTACTGCATTCTCTTTTGAATTTTATCATGCAGATTATTTAATACAGTAGACGTTTGGTGGTCAGTATGATATGATAAAATGATTACCAACAAAATATAACTAAGACTGAGTTTGTTAAGTTTTATTTCTGATTACTCCACTGGGACTAAGCATGCTATTTTGTTTTCCTGTCATTCATGTCCAACTATATATATTTATGCGTTTTTCCATTTTCTTCTCAGTTTTTGGCACGTGCCTTACTGCTTCTGATATTGAGCTTCATTTGAATTTTTTAAATTGGCGTAAAACAAACGACGGTGATGCACATAACAGTAGCTATCGGAAGTTATAATATAGTTGCAGATGTATCTTTTATCACCCAGGGCAACATTTTTGTTTTTATCACTATAATTTATGTTGCGTAATTCCCGATTTGTTCTAAAACATGATCACAGTTGACTCAGTTGTGAATTTTTATTTGTGCATCGAACAGTTCTTTAATATAAATTTAATATTATTATATTTAATATTAATGCTACTTAAAAATCACTATTTTATGTAATATTTAGCTTTAATAAGCCTAGGGTATTATTAAAGGGCCCATCATCACTGTAATCATGTGCTTCAGCAATAAACTTGGAAAACGATCTTTGCTATGCTCTCAATAAATGTAGGCAATACTAATTGAAACACACAGATTGAAACAACAGGCGACTAAATTTTTATAAGTATAGTCTTATCATATGCTGAAAAATCCGGATTTCTGACATCATTGCCGTTTGCATACCAAAAGTATTCCACATCTATAACTGGAGACTTTACTTTCGTAAGACGATATGCATTTGTTAATTGGCTCTTATGAGTTTTTAAATGGTTGAAAACACGGCGCTAGTAGCTGCCTTGTTACAAAAGATAAGTATACTCCGATTATGCATCTGTATGAAACTGTATTCTGACAATTTTAGGCACTAGTGATACAGTGAGTACTGAGCAACTAGTATGCATCTCCTGCTCCTACCACTTCATCCTCTTCTATTTTTAACTTGGTAACTCGTCAGTGTAAACTATAATCATTTCACGGTCATATTTTAAAAAAACGCGAGAGGGAGTGGAAACCAACATGTTTACTCGTGATTGAATTCTCTTTTCAGAAGTAGAAACTTTGCTGTTACTACGGAAATGGTGAATACGCGACATAGAACTATTACAAAAAATCTTTTGGTTTAAAATTAGAACCAAATTTGGATCTGATTTTTAGCAAACCGTAATCACCTATCTGCCTTACTACCTTACAGTTAGAATGCATTAATAAATATAGCGGAACCTGTCAAAATTTTATTAAATGATAAAATGTCTTCCCTTTGCATATTATGTACAATCTATTTTGTTATCTCAAACATTAAGTTACTTATTTCAAGCATCGATGAACTCCACCGTGGTAGATGAGAGGTTAAAAGTGGAGATGAGTAAGCCATATAAGCCGGTACCGCTGAGAAATTTCATCTTCATCACTACAGCGAAGTCTTGACTTGTAGTTGTTAACTCCAATCAAAGAGAAACGATAACATTATTGAATCTGTATCTTCCTATTTTCTTTTTACATTTTTCATTTCACATGTTATTTTATCTAGTGGAACTTTGAAAGTGGTTAATTTGTGTAGCTGAACCAAAGTTGGAAGTGTAGGAAATGCGAAGTCTTCAATAGCCGAAAATGTTAGTACTCGAAGTAAAGAGGAGAATATGGTCTTTACTGGGTCCTCGATATTCTAAATTTATCTTTTTCAGCTGCCTCTCTTTTGTTATAAGCGCCATTTAGTCGCAATAAACTTTGGAAGTTAAAGATGCCTTAATTATTTCACTCCACTGATTTTAAACCAGAAATGATGCATGAATACATAATTTTTTAGTTGTGCACTAAAGATATCAGCGGTAATTCATTTTGAAATTATTTTCTACTTAAACTAGTAACGAAAAACTTCCTGGGTCTTCTTGAAGTTTTCTATAAGTTTCTTGAAAACATCATCTGGTTTTAAAAGAAGACATAGCGCTCTGAAGCTTTTTTGTTGCTTTTCATCATTAGTTAGGAATAACAATAAATTTTATGAAAATTTAATATAGTAATCAATTAATAATCAGGTGTTACAAACCTTAGCATTGTTTTGTTTAAATAAAGTTTCTGATAGCTTAACTGTTAGGTACGAAAAAATCGTTTGACATTCAAATTCAAATCCTTTTTGAGTAGTAAATTTGCAATAGTATTCATCAGCGAACTTAAGAGTACAGTGATTCACATAGGTGCTGAAATAAATGTACATTTCCCTCGTTAGTAGTATTAGTAAGTTAAGTCAAAATTTGTTCATGTCAGAATTGTGATAACTTCATCAATATGAATTATACAAGAATGAAACTATCAGAAAAGAAAACTGGATGGTTAAATAACTATTGCACCGATCACTTTCGGATCCATATTTCCATAATGAATTCGCTATCGCCAATAAATTATATACTGTGAGCGACAAATACGACTTCAAGAACTATCTAATTATCGACTGCAGTGTATATAAGTAGCAAAAGCTTGTTTCATCTTTACTGCTGTTTGGACAATAATATTAAGTAAAATCTTTATCAGATTCTTGGCTTACAAAGTGAAGATGGGAGGTATAATATTGTCCATTTCAGATCTCCCTTACAGATTTGAATTTTTCAAAAGTGCACAAAACCGGGCCTCTAAAAATATCAGAGAATTTGACGATTTAAAAGTTTCAGAAAGGCCTTATTTCTAAAGCCATCTAAATCCTTCTTCTATCGTCCTTCTATAGTGTCATTGTCACTTTTTCTAGTCCTGTTCTTGTCAGCCAATTGACGCGCTTAAAATAAGCGCCTAACTTATTCCAGGCTATTGGTTACACAAGCTGATTATAATGAAGAAGAGTGAGTTGAGGTGACAGTCATTCATTTAAAAACTAGTGTGGATTTGTCAAGAACGTTCAATATCTCCTATCATCTCTCCTACTTTCCTGCATGCAACGTTTTCTTCCATTATCACGAAAACGATCCTCCTTCAAATACTTCTCACGCAGTCAATTTTCGCCATTCTTTTGTAAGTAATTTTTTCTTTCAATATTCTTCTATAAGCAAAAAATTTGCTATTTTAAAGGAAAAAGTAGAATGTTTGTAAAAGGCGACTTTGAAATTAGCTACTTTCAGACATTGTTTATTGCAGAAGTTAATAATTCAAGTCGTTAGACGTGCGATTGTACGTGCAGAGGAGATACACTGAAAAACCATTAAATTTCAATGATGTTCTTTGCATGCGTCTTTTTTTTTCCTACAAATCTTTTAATATTGTTAAAGAGATCAGAAGAATAAGATTGGCGAAGGAGCATATATTGATATCCCTGTAATGGTTAACAAAATTTTTAATTTGAAACTCCTTTATAAACAACTAATTTGTAAAAGCTGACTTCATAAATAGTGAAAAAGCATGGGAGACATTAGTACCATGTTAAGCTTAACGATATTCCTTTATTTTCAATATATACTGAAAAGTTAGTAAAATTTAGAAGCACTGTTAAATTCTGATAAGCTTCGAAGTAGAGAACACAGGAGATGTAAATCAATTCATTTGATTACAAAGATGGCTGTTATACATGAAGTGGGGATTGCTTTATGTGGATGTTTATATTATGTAGAAATTCCAGAATTATCACAGCTTATGAGGAAAGGACACTGCTTATACACAACCGCTTTGCATCCCATCAGCCGATCACTCCGCTCCTCATACACTCTTCATATTTATCCCATTGCAATTCAGTTCTTCCATCAGATCTCCACTTTGTACCAGGTATACGAACATTCAAGCTTCTTATTCTAAGTTACCTCTGCTTCGTTGAATGCTGTTGCCATTCCATATAAAAAAGAATGTTTCAAATATGATTAGCCTATTGGTCATCCCACTGGTATGAAATGTCTGGTACACTTAGGTAAACAAATCATTTACCACGAAGGATGTCCGTATTTGTTCAGCCTACACTGAACGCAGATCAGGAAGAGGGACGACTATCTCGCATGCTTCGTCGTCCTACAAAACGAAAGTACAGTGCTGTACGTATCATCAGCACTGTTTCAACTGGTCAGTTCATTATATTACTAATTATTGATTAAATCTGTTCGATTAGTTCATAATTTTTCATTCCTAGCAAGTGTTATACGTAAGGATTTACCTGTACTGCTGAACAAAACATAACAATATGAAAAATAACAATATACAAGTATTGCTGAAGACAAACATATATATATATATATATATATATACATATATGCGCAAATGTAGAAGTGCACCGGATGCACCCAAATAGGATTTTGGTCTGCAAATGTTATACACTCAAACTCATTCCTAGGTACTGTTAATGGCAGATGTTTTTACCATACCAAAAATGTTATCGTATGAAACGAAAACACAATTTATGAGTCAGTCGTAAGTGCTACTTGCGCTTCTGATTCTCTCTGTGAGAACCATTTATAGCAGTTAATGGAGTTCGTAAAAGTATGGACACACAGAGGATCATAAGAGCAAGGATATGATGATACGTTGAGGATCAAACTGTGCTAATTATATATGTTTTAAGATTTTAGTTATTATATTTTTCAGTTCATTATAGGGCTTCTTTTTTCAAATCTTTTCCTAGAATTCGTTACTGTTTATCAAATTTTCGACTTCTCTCATCATTTCATCATCCTTTATGACTGAAGTAGTGGTGCTGGGTTTATATCATAAGTGATCTAATGCTTTTAAATTAAGGCAAGGAAGAAAAGAAATATAGCAGATAAACAGGAAATTTCATCATCACTGTTTCATTGGAGGTCTAACATCCCGCTTCTCGCACATTCTAAAATTGTTTGCCCACTTAATTGCTAACTGTTTGCTTAACTGCTGATATGAAGTGGATACAATCGCTGCTGAGAATAGAACTGCAACGCATATTCAAATAACTGTATTTAATTAACTTGTAATATTCCATTTATTTAAAAAAATTTAGTGTTTGTAGCAATCAATCAATTTATCTCTATGTGACTGTCGCTCAGAGTTTTAATTTATGTTTTTTCATTTCAAATATTTCTGCAGCATATAATTTTATTTAGAAGACTTTTTGCTGGCCTTATCTAATATGAACTTAAGCTTCCAACAAAACTCTGCACTAGATATCCACTCAAATGTGAAAATCACTTCTTTCCCACTGATAGTGTAAAATATGTAGAGCAAAATAATCCCACTGATTTCATATCATCATTCGTGTGAGGCAAAGTTCATTGAACCTAGTCAATGTTGCTAACAATTAAACTTACCTCGTAATACTGTGGGCAATTAGAAAATGGAGAAGAGCTCAGTTGTGTGTGTGTGCGTTTTTCTTTTTTTTAATAAATTCAAATTATTTTTGATATTAGATTTGATATTGTAACATTACACAGTTGCTGTTTGTGTCGGTCAAACATATTGGACCAAAACTTTTCATTTTCATAAGGACAACTAATTAATTTTAATTAATTTTGACTATTAGCATATAGAATTGTTTATTTCAATTCCTGAAATCTTTGTTGTTAGTAATTTAAAGAGTCAAGGAACTGATTCAGTTATATTAATGAAGTTCGAAAATTTAGCCTTTCCTTTACAGATATGAAAATTTATTCGAACAATTTGTGATTATTATTTTAGAAGAAGATAAACAAATTATTGAACTAATAATAGTTGCAGTTTTTCAATTCACTAAGAAAAAAGGATGAGATTTTTTGTTTGTGTTAAACTTTTTAAAGCTTTATGAGAATTTTTTTTAGAGAAAACGTGTTAATCTGTTAGTAAGTTTTTCTTGGTTTGTTAATTTTACTGCCACAACTAAACTTTTATTTTTTCTTCGACTTCCCACTCATTTTTTCTTGCTTTGTTTTCACTTGCTCCCTTTTTTACAACGTTTCTATATCTAGAAAAGTTATCAAATAAGTGACTTTATCTCTTCGACTTCAGTATTTCTACTATAGTTCGATTATGAACAAAAATATCGCACTAATTTTGGTTTTATTTGATCAACACATATGTAACAAAGAAGCCTTATTATGTATTCAGTAAAAAGATAAACTTATCTAAATCAACCCAATTCATACTTCACTTCTGGTTATTGTTATCAGTTGCGCTTTCATTAATTCCTCACAATGGAAAAAGTATTAGAAAGAATTTCTCAATAAGTAACAATTCATCCTCTTAAGGCAATAGAAATTAAATAAAAATGATGACGGACCATTTACGGATGAAATACTAAAATTGTAATGTTAGTCTAAACAGCATCGAAAAGTATAATTTAAAATATTTCACATTATTTTTTAAAGGAAAGTATTATTTAAATTTTTACAGTTGTACTTAGAAAATTAGGAAAGCAATATAACAGTACTAAAAAAATTAATATCGTTATATTGGTTTTCTTGTCGCATATATTAAAAAATGTGACATACGAAATGGTAAAGATGGAAATCAAATCAGAATGGGTTCTTTTTTGTTAAAAATTTCTAGATACCTGTTTATCTAAAAAAGCGAAATAAATGACCCTTGTATGAAGCATAAATAAATTTTTAGAAATAGTTTTTGCCAAATCTTTGTCACATATTTTCCTTCATAATTCATGTCTTTTTTGAAAATTTGAATGTGTTTCTGTGAAAAAGTACGATAAACAAAAACCAAATTTCTTGAACTGCTTATTTGCTGTATTTCTTAATAAAGAAGAAAAATTTTACCTCAAAAAACACATTAGTTTTTTGTGGGATACAATTCTGTTTATATAAAGTATGTAAGATCCCCTACATAAAAGTTTCACCAGTGATAATAGGTTATTACTAATTATCCTAATGTCTTTTCCGATTTAGTTCGATTAATTTTTTAATTATACTAGTTTTTCTAATTATATATGTTCATTAAAATCACCAGTCATAGCACACATTTTTAGTGTTTCTAAAGTATGTACGACATCTCACCACACCATCAGGCTTCGAACTGCATCTGTTCTGCAGAAAGGAATAGAAAGAAGTAATAATCATCTCTTTTATTTGTTTTAAGCCAAAAAATCAACTTACCGAACTCTAGCATATGCTAAATCTGTCCATCATTTATCCTTTTTTTTTCTGAAGAATCAAGTCCTCTAGATTTTAACCTAGCATTCCACTTCTTTATTATTAAAGTTTTCAGCGCTATATATTTGTCCTGATGAATTAATTGACAGAACAACGAGAATTTTTGATTCAAGGCAGAAGTTTTTATCTCGGAAAGAAACTCTTCCATAAAACTTTTCAACAACATGCTGCCACCAATATCGCAGTATCTTGGCAAAGATTTTCTGCTCTAAATATTAGCATTCTTGCTTCCTAGCAATTTTTTCATTGAATTCTGAATGATATACCTATTCATATTCATAGGAATTTGTATTTCTCAGTCACTGTTCCATATACATGATTCATTACTATTTGTAATAAAAACTTTTACGCCAATGACCTCAAATCTGCAAGGATTTTATTTTATTTATTTATTTTTTTCATATACTTTTTTAATCAAATTGTGTCATAAAGAGACAAAGTTAATGCTCTAACTGATTGTTATTGCAATTCACGTTTATCTGATATGGACTGGAAACCATCTGAATGATCTGGAAGTTTCTTGCTCTAAGTTTCGCTTATGTAAAAAATATAAAGAGCGGTTACATTTGTTATGAATGTTTCTCTGCAGTTTGTGGATAGACGACTTTCTCAAAGATTAACAAATAGTAGCATGAATGATTGAAACATTATTATTCTCTGTTACTAGTCATTTTGTTTGTGTGGGTTACCAATTAAGACTTTGATTTTATATTGTCATTTGAGGCATGCCTCAAGACTGCAGTTTTGGATTTCTGAATTTGTTAAGCAAATAAATTTATTCACAAAAAATATCTGGTTGGTAGATATTTTTTTTAATTCATTGCGTACTGCTAGGGAGTAAATGACTTCACGTTTTGCTCATCTATTCCTTTTTAAAACAGTTGAAAAATTTTAAACAGCTTTAGAAAGAAGTTCAAAAATTTATTTCAAATATTTGGACATTTTTACTACAGAAGAATGGTAATATTTTGATCAATGTTTCCATTTTATTTGCTGCTGCACTCCTACTGTTGATTAAAAAATGTTCAAAAATATCTAAGAAATGTTTCAAATATTACTCTTCCCGTCTTTTTGGCGACCAGCATAAAATTTCTGTGTTACACTGTCAGTTCTTCAAGTTTTACATTAAATATCATAAAATATGACCTAAAAAAAGATTTCTGTTTCCTTCAAATTATAACACTACTTTATATTCAGTAAATCTGTGCCAATTACTGTCAAATACCTTATTTATCCCGATAACAGCATATGTATATCATATTACCTTAATATCTGGTAATGAAGTTGATGGTATGGTATTTTTGTTGTTGAGCATAGTAATGTTTAAATAATATAATCAAATGTACCATTTTTTTGGTAGATATCAGATTTAAGTAATATTATTTCAGATGTAATTCCTTTTAAAAAAAGGTAAAAGTTATCTTTCGTAGATTTTGTTTCTACGTTGAATATTTCTGCTGCATTACATTAAAAGTATGATATGCTTTTTAATTTAAGTTTAAATACCATCAAATTTGCATTAGGAGGAAAAAATCTGAGGACTATATTTTACAGCTACCTTGTATTTTCATGCTTTCTTTTTCTTTTCAACTTTGATGAAACTTTGATAACTTTTACATCCTTGATGAATCAGTTTAGAACTAAATTTAACAGGATACTTTTTTCTGTTAGTTTTGATGAGAAGTGTAAGATACTCATATCATGGATATCTTAAGACAAGATTCCATTAAAGTAATTATTAAAGATAAGGTCTTATTAAATTAAAATAATTTGTAGAAGGATTTAGGGTTAATTTACAGATAAAAAAGAGTGCTAAACAGCTGTGATAAAAAGAGTGAATTTCACCTCATAGACAGCTAAAAGAAACTTTTAAATAAAAGGGTTGTCATAGATTAACCCGAGGTTGTCAGTAACGGATAAAAGATTGAGCTTTTTCTTCAACGTGATATGGGAAAATTTTATTTGTAACACATAATATAAAATTAAAAAAGTTATTTATAGTGCCCTTCGAGAATGAATCGCATTTGTTTTGAATTCTGTCATACTGTTGTAATTAAACATAAAGAAGTAGAATTTTTCAATCTTTCGATTTACGCAAATATTTGTCAATAAAAAATGTATTTTTTCATATCGCATTTGCTGCATCGTTTTTAATTGAGGACGAAAAAAAATTTCGTACATGACAATAAATTTCAAGGATTTTATAGTCTAAGCTATATTTTCACCAAAAAAAGTATCCGAAAAAGCGAAACACAAATATGTATTGCTTAAAAGCTAACCACACTACAAAACACTGCAATCATAAACTTTTCTCTGGAAATCGTCGTTGAAAACTGTAGATTTTTGACGATGCCACTACCAAATTTAGTTTTTCTTGATGAATTACAAAGCTTTCTGGTTGAGATACAATAATGTCTTTTTCATTCGAGTTTGTTCAAGTAAGAGACATAAATTTTCGACAAAGTAATTTTTGTTAATTAATAGCAAATGTCACAATAATAGCTATGGTACAATAATTAGACTAGGATATGGCTTTGTGACTAAACTTTTTTTGAAGTATAATAATTTCATAATGAGTTAAAGCAACAAGTTAGCTGAAGTTAGCTGAAAAACATTTCAAAGAATAAGTAAAAATTAAGAGCTAAAGATAAATAATTATTTAACATCCCATAACATTCAAATGTTTGTTCCGTGACTATTTCTTTGATTAATGATTATTTCTATTTCACCAAACAATTCCTAAAATTTGTTTTGCCCAATACCCCAATTTATGGATTACTTTGTCAATGGATTGAACTGCCTCGTCACGCTCACAACCAGTTTACTCTCATCCCTAAAGAAGTTACATGAGCTTTATTATTTGAGACGAGTTTGAACTTGTTGAGTTCCGCAAAAACAAAACGAAATGTGCAGTTGGCGTTCGTTTGTTACCACCCTTTCCTGGCTTGATTCTCATATGTGAGTTGTATTGTTAAGTAGAATATATTCTTCCATATCTGTATGTATGTATGTGTGTATGTAAGTATATGTATTTATATATGTAAAAGCACATGGAGGAGCGCTGAGGATGCCCGATGGGTTGTCGCCGTGTTGCTGATTCCAAAGCTGGACTATTCTGATAGCCTTTCTCAAATAATTCTGGAAGGCTTACTGCACAAATTTATTACTGATACTGCTACACTGCTAATGAATACCTCAGCGTTTTGAAATGCTCCCAGATTATGATTTATTCACAAGCAATCTCCAATGAACGATTCAATCCCGCATTAGCTTTATTCAAAACAGCAGGTCTAATCCGGACAACAGTGGGTATCCAGCAAACACAAAACAGCTTTGACGATTCATATAACTTGTCACGAGGCTTGGAACGATCTCATGTTACTTATGTTAGAGGTATTCCGCTTTCACTTTCATTTCTTCGCATTTCAAACTCCTTCCTGTTCTCTATTAAAAAACCTCTTAGGGCGCTTGCTTACATTACAAGCCGTGATTTACTATAAGTCTCCCGTAACTTCAATTTACTCAAACAGTTTGATGTTAGCAGTAAATATTTATTTCAACTAACTTCGACATTGGCAGTATTAGTAATATGTGGCAGCACCCAACGTCCTAGATGACTTTAATAAGCTGAAGCTTAATTGATATCAATGAAAGAACTTTGTTATTTCGGATTGTATGACTGTTATAAATTTTCTGTAAATAATGAAGGATTTCGCCTTATTTTGTTGTAAATTTTCCTTAAATACAGTGTTCTTTTTTTGTCGTCTAAAAATCGATGAGTGAATTCGATACGAACTTGAAAAATCGATGAGTGAATTCGATACGAAACTTTCAGCAACTTGAAATTTAGATTTATTATTTCAGAACAATATTGTAAATAAGCAATATGAAAAACAACATGAAGTAAAAACTAGTAGTAGCCATTTATTCATTTATCTGTTATATAAATTAATTGCTTAGAATATGGTGTGCTTTGACTTGTTTTTTTAGTACTATTTTTACTTCTGCAGCACTCATCTTTATTCAAGAAGTCGGGACAGTATCTTGACATGTATATTAAATAATGCAGAAAGGAAGGGAAAAAGGGAAAAAGATACAAATAAGAATTGATGTGCATAACAAAAACATGACTGAGAAATCACTTCAATAACAAATAGCAAAAGACAGGACAGCTAAAGACATTTCCTCTAATATAGCTGCTAGATGAAAGTAAACGATCTTTAGGTTATATAAAACCTCATAATATGATAATGAGGAACACAAAGAAATTGTAATGATAAGAAGATTATCAAAGAAATAACTGCAAGAAGTAAATAAAGATTGTGAAAAAGTGGGATAAGCTGTGGAATCGTGGGATGGAATAGAAAAAACTCAGTGACATTTGAGTAACACATATGTGGGGGGAAATAAGATGGAAACCCTCAGTCTTTTAGTTTTTTTAAAAAATACGGTAATGAGATCTGATATAGCAAGAAACTCTTAGTCGAGATGCTAGAAGATGGCCAGTTTGTCGTGGTGACAAGAGTTTTTAGCAAAAGGACTCTGATAGCACATTTCAAGACAATGAGATGAGTAGTAGCGCATTGATGTGCATGTCATTTTTTTTTCCCTTTATTGCGCAGGTTGTGGGACGTTTATTATTGAAGGTAACACACACTAAGGACGAAATCACGAACGGGTGAATGATCTGTCAGAATGCTTGACGAATATTTCAGTTAGAAATCAAAAAATGGCGGATCCCTAGAGCTCAACATTATTTTATGTCAAACTAATAACTTGGTACATGCAGAGGTAGAATATAACCTTTATGGCTGGCAGAGTTACACAAACAATGCAAATAGAATTTGTTAAACCTAAAGGAAGGGAGGCTAATGGATAATGCTGAACAGAACGATTCTGATGTCGAAGAACAGTGATAGCAGTACTCGTAAAATTTTGCAAGTTTATAATTTCCTTGATTAATACGTCTTCAATAAATGGTTTGGTTAATAATCCTCACATTACGAGATGTTCTCCATTCTAACTGAAACGCCTGAGGCATTGAGATGCATCGTTTTTTTGGGGCGATGAATTTGAATGTTTAATATGAAATAAAATGAAAGTTTATTTCCTTAAAAAGGTCAAAATAATTTCTGTTCAAAGATTGTATG